CTGCTGAGAACGCGGCCACTTTGAATGGAGGAGCGGCCAGATTTATGACATGCCACTCCAGCCAATGTGAGCGCCCCCTGTTCCCGCACAATAGCGGGTGACCCTGGTTTCAACTTCAAGCTCCCGTATCTACTGCCATAGACATTGTGTCGTACACTCTTGTTTTTGTTAAATTTTAACTCTATATTGAAATTCCAAGTTCCATATCGTATGCAGATTTTTAAGATATATACTTTGAAGCGAAAGGTACGATCAAGGTTTCAGAAACGTGATATTGTCTGATTAGCTTAGACACTATGACCAAGGTCTTTATTGAGTATAGTTAGGTTGTTGACCGTGTCGCGTTCCTCAACGTGCTTAGAAAACAGCTTTCAGTTTGGCGGCGTGTGGGGTGTTTGAATTTTTTTTCCCAGAGGCGGGAGGGGGTAAAAAAACTTAACAACTATAAATCAGTTTTGTACCGCGGAATGTTCTACAGGAATTACACTGAGCAGACGTCCTAAAGCCTTTCGATTCGAGACAAAACACGCGGTCTCACCCGACCTGCCTGTTACACGGCACAAGAGAATCAGCTAGTTTAACTTACGTAGGAAACTTTAAATCAAAATAATAGTTACTCAGATTAATTGTGCATTTGTAAGTGTCAAGCTTCTGTTTTCATTTCTTACTCTTTACTTTTTATTTTATATTTTTCTGCACCATATGAACTTCCTGCTGTCAGTGTATGCCATTAACTTTTATTGATACAATACCGTTACGTCGTGTTACATACTATACTACATATAACCTTAGACATGAGTAGAAAGTCCAGGAAATATATCCACCCATTTTCTCTAACCTTTTATCCTATTCAGGGTCAGGATATATATATATATATATAAAATACTTCACTTTGTTATTAAAACACATTTTTGCGTCTCAGTCACGCATATGCTTGTACATCGTAATTCAGGCTGATACATCTGTTTCTTCAATACCTAACTCTACAAATTTTTATATAAACCGAAAACAATAATTGAGTTGTACATTTCTTAAAGAAAAAATGCCTTAAACAAGAACCACCATGCACTATCACAACAAACATGAAAAGAGTAAGATGTAGATGATTATATACTTAAATAAAGTGCATCATTTTGAATTTGAATTCTCAGGGCGAAGAACCGTGGGTTCGGATTCATAAGAAATTCATACACAATTTGTTCAGTTAGTATTCAGCTCGGTAATACTGTAACTACACCTGAAACTGCTGTGAGGTCATTATCAGGAGAGGACCCACCAAGTATTTGATTTATTTTATTTACATTTTTTCCAGACAATTTTGAATTTACAGCCTGGATTGTTATAGAAGATCAAAATTCATTCCAAAAATCACACTTTAGGCTGGTATAAGGCGTAAAAGGAAGTCGCATCGTTCTGTTTGATCAGTGAAATCTCTTTTCTAGTGAACTTTATTGTTACATTTTAAAATGAAAGAAAGCTGTAAACAACTGACTATTCCTTAATTCGACTGTAGACTACTTAGTACAGCACTTGAATTTCGAATTTTTTAGTATGTTTGTATGTGTATTATATATAATACATACTGTAATGTAAGCATATGTGAATATATAGTGACTGTCAATAAAATTTCCATTCATTCATTATTCACTATATGTTTATAAAAACTTTTAATATATGTATATACTACTTCACGTATAGGCTATATAACAGCTATCTTTCGTTTCGGTAACCGATATTTCTATTGAAATTAAGAATTTTGTTCGCAAATATTTTTTGGCGAAATCGCAGGAAAATGTAGTACGTGAGCTGCAATGACATTTTAACCGAATTAAAATGTTTATATTTTATCTCCACGAGCCAGATCAGGATATGCGGTTTGAGGATACGTGTTATAAACATTTAACTACAATTAAAATTAAGACGAACGTATACTAAAAAATTAATAAGTTTTCATTACTGGCAGCAGAGTTCATTCAGTGAAACCGATATTGAAAATTTGTGTTGACATCGATGTTTGATTGTATACCTTGATTCAGTCCTTCAAGTAGGCCTATTTTAACTCTCAAAAGAACAAATACGCTTAAAATATACGGATACGTAGGTTATAAGTCATTCCGTCTTACAGAAGTGAAATACCGTTATATGACTGTACAGAACATTTAGCTAGAATATCACCTATGTCATTAATATTTGCGGTACATTAATTCTGACACAAGTTTACAAGACAGGAAGATTAAACCATTGTGTAAAACCTCTGCTGACCTTTAACACGTTTTAAACGTAATGTATTATGACTGCACGAGACATGAAACTAGTAGACCAATTTCTAATTACCCATTCACAAATAAGAGGGCATAAAGAATAAACTACATTAATGTGATTTGCGGGTAAATAAATAAAGTAAAAGACTTGGTTCCTCATTCTGCTGCAGACCAACACCTGAACAACAATAAACGCTCAAAGGTCAGTAACATCCATATCCATTCGGCAGGTATTGCTTTACTATCTTCATAAACAGAATTTGGCATTGTATTCTGAAAAATTTATTTCCCCGATAAAATCGGATGGATTTAGCAAATGCGGTAAGATTCTTGTGCACATTTAATACTATTTATTCAACTTGTATTAGGCCTATATCTAACATTTTATAGTATATTCTTCCAATCACAAACAAAAACAATTGGAAAACAGGACAGCAAAAAAGTAAGAACACACCGAGAGTATCAGTCAGGTCACAGGGTTATAAAGGCCAGCCGGGCTGAAGTGAGCCCAATGTGACAGAGAAGCTGCCCCCGGCGTGAACCCAGCCTTCTCGGCGTAATAAAGTACCTTTTCAGTCACACAACGCGCAAGCGACAGAACGAAAAGGGATGGGGAGCGTGGTCTGTGTGTGTGTTTGCGCGTCTGTGTCTGTGTCTATGCGTGTGTATGCTGGGGGTGGGGGTCCGTCGCTGGCACATTAATTTCTCTGTTGTCCGCCAAAAGAACGGGTTTGGAATTCTTCTCTGGCCTGCATGCTTCCACGCGCTTCGGGCGCTATAACCGAAGAAGAAACGGTGCGGGAATTTAAAAAAAATAAATAACACAGTCTCTGTGTTTGTTGTTTATACTACAAATAATTAAGTTTAATCATCGAGTCAAATTTTCGGATTAGGGTATTTAGTTATACCTAGCTTTTATTTTGAATTATTTTCTAAAGCATTTTGTCTTCGACCAGGTGGTGAAACAGTCATTTTGTCCGCCACAATTATATAAGTATGAAAATGTCTGAGAGTGGGAATCCTATTACAATATCAGTTAGTTTTGGAAACAAGGCTTTGTCATTCACCATACAATTGTTTTGGGGAGCTACTTTTATACTAAACTGGGTTCAAGATAATTTTTTAGTATTTTTATCATTAGGGCACGTTTGATAAAATGAAATGCATGAAATTTCACTGAAGTCCAACAAACAAATAAAGTTTCGGTTATGAACTGAAATGTTCACGTGTCACAAAAAGATCATGCATTCCAAACCAACTCCCTACATCGTTCGGCGTAGTTTGTTGTAGGTTATTATATACAAAAATAAGCAGTATTGTTTATATTTTGAGAGATACGTCAATCTAATAGGTTTGTTAAAATAATTCAACGATAACACAGGCCTATTACTAAAGATTAATATAGAATTTTTCAGAAAAATGTATATATAGGCCTATTTCATAAAATATATATAGACACACGCAAACGAACGGCGAATTGTCGGGTGATATACACACACGCACACACACACACATACACACATTTCTTCTGTATGTTATATGCCTTCTGCACGCCTCTTCAGATGAAAACTGAAACTGATGTTCATAAATAATGGATCTTGAAATAACAATTAATGTGCAAAGAAAAAAACATCCAAATGAGTTGTAATAAAATAGAGCAGCTGTAGTAGATTGGTGGAATCAAAAACAAAATTACGGAGCCCAAACGAATGACGCAAACATCAGAATGCCTGGGAACAGTGACTCCATCTTATGACAGTGAGTTTGACTTGTCTTACATTGCCTTGTGATTTAGACTCATTCAAATTTCCCCCAGAAAATTTTAAATCCAAGCCAGTTAAAGGTTATGCAAACCAAGAAGCTGAATTGCTATGAGAAGACTGATAATGTTTCTTTTATATAATGTTTCTTATAAATTACACCCCCCCCCCTTTTTGCCAGGCTAATCGATTTTCAATTAAACCTGACCGTAAGCAGTAAATTCAACGTCATTGTGTTTCTGCCATTAGAACGTCAAGAAGAGAGCCCCGGATCTCTGTACCATACAAAGTATATGGAAATAATGTAGCTGCAACAGACATAAAAGACCTGTGACGTACGCAAATTCTCTTAGCAGTCCTAGAAAGTTGTGGTTTTTAACACGGCAGGAAGACAAGGCACCGGACAACGTGAAGTGATTGTTGTTGATTTGGGAAGCACCCCATTGACAGAAGTGTAAACATGTCACGAATGGACGGAAATGGACGTCAGCCGGGGGAAAAGAAGAGAGAACATCATCGAACAACAATAGTACTGAGGACGCGCTGTCCGAAAGCCGTGATGCAGTAACATTACTATAGACTGAAAGGTAAAAAAGAAGAGGGGCTGCCATTTATAGCAATTCACCATTCTTCAAATTACGTACGTGATTTATGAAACGTATGTATGTACAATGTGTAAAATACCAGTTAAGAAGGAACCCATTGTGCCAGTAATGTTAATGCTGCCCTTCTACAAATATTGAATTTATGGCATGCTTCCAGTTTAGTTTTAGCCGAAGGATGTTGGGGTTAAATGGCAAAATACTTTCTCGTGAAAGGACTAATTTTAGGGCTTTTTAAAAGGATCACTATTCACCACCTTTCGTTTTGAATGGCAAGTCCCTATAGGCATCTATTTTCATATATTTGGCTGATACTATTAGTAAACAAGCCCATATATCACCCAACATGGAAAATTAATAGACGAAAGTGACCCAAATGTACAAAACCGTTTTATTGACCACTATTATTACCACACATACACCATCACAACGATAGTTTACTTAATCTAAAACACATTATTACCACAAAAGTGCTTACTTTTTAGATTTTAAAACCTGTTTATTTTAGGAATTAAGCCCTGTCCAGTCCACTGTTCCCAGTCCTTTACATCTAAATAAATAAATTAAGCTTACATAAAAATCAAAAGCCGAAACTTCTCTAATCTTGCTGTTAGATAAATAAAAAAATGCGCTTTGAACTAGACAAAATATACAGTACAATCACGGACTCCTCTCAAAATAGCCTTTCTCTCAAATGTCCTGCTCCCCTTTTGATTCCAAACAGATCAAGAAAAAAACAGCTTATTTCTACTATTTCTCTAAATAAATAAATCCTGAAGTACAGCGTAAACAATTTATTGGTATTCGCGTTAATCCATGCTATATAACATGCATTTTATATAACTGTGGACTATAAGCAAACCCTTTTACGCACAAGTCAACTTCTGTCTTATAACCTTGTTATATCCTCCGATTCTCGTTCGACTCCGGCCACCCTGGAGAGTTCCTCGGAGCCTACCACCATGTTAGACGCCACAGCGGCCGCCACTGTGCTGGCTGATGAGCTCGTTTTGGACCCGGAGGATGTGCTTGTAGAAGCTGAGGATCTGACTTTAGTGTTGGGCAGCCTATGATCTTTTTTCCACTTCATCCTGCGATTCTGAAACCAAATTTTGATCTGCCGCTCAGAGAGAACCAAGGAGTGAGCAATCTCGATGCGTCTTCGCCGAGTTAGGTAGCGGTTATAGTGGAATTCCTTCTCCAATTCTAAGACCTGCTGACGAGTGTAAGCAGTCCTCGACCGTTTGGGCTCTGCTCCGTTGTAACTGGCGTTCACTAGAAAGGGGAAAGGTAGAACGAAAATAGGAAAAGATAGGAATAAGCAGGAAGGTGGGAAAGCAGGTTTTATATGAACTGAAACGTTAAAGGGAAGGATAACAACGGAGAATGGGGATAGTACAGCTCCTACTCAACAACCTAAGATCTTTCATTGTATCATTTGCCCGCCTCAATAAATATGATTTTACAAAAGAAAAAAAGCACCAAATCGTTTATTACGTGTCCCAAAACTTAAATGTCTTTATTGTCCACTCTTCCCCCGTCTCTCCTCTAACACACACATGAAAGGAAAAAAACCACATGGCAATAGAGCTGCCCACACCAACACTACAGCTATAAAATTTATGGTGGGTGCAATTACCAGCGCCGAGTCGTAAATCCGCCTCAATTGTGTCATTTCAAAGGCTTCTCTCATACCGTTGCAAGGACTGGCTGGGTGATAGAAGTAAAGAGAGAGAGGGGGAGAGCGCGGGAGAGGGAGAGTAAAAAAGACACACAAGTTGCCTACCGGTACTGATGTGAATTTTCTTCATCCATGGGTATACTATGGGTTGTTTGGAAGACACTGTGATGTTAGGATGCTCCGATTCGGCTTGGTTGCAGGTGGAGGGCACAGACGGTGTGGTAGAAGGTGACGTGGGTAAATTTGGGGGCTCACGCTGAGATGGTTGCGTTTTCCCAACAAGCAGGTGCCCTGAATGTGGTATCTCATGCCCCCTTTGGGCTTCGGGCTCGGGGATGCTTGCACAGTTATACTGGCGCTCCTGGTACGTCGCTTGCGGAGGATACAACTCCTGGTGGTGATGCTGGAAGCCAGTGTCCCTCGTGCGGCTGTAATATTCAGAGCTGTGGTCTGGGATGTAGCTATTTTGCGAATATTCCTCGCATGGAGGAAATTTCGGATCAATGTAGTTAGAGTCCATCAAATACGAGCTCATGATCATTAATTTCTGGAGTGAAAAATAATTTTTCTACCTTTGTCGTTTTTCTGCTCCATAAAGCCCTCCTACTCGCGAACGGCCCTGTAAAGTTACTTTTACCACGTGACCTAATTGTCCAATAGAAGCGCGTAATGTGGTCCCCGGATAAGGAACCAAATGCTTATTCGAAACGTACCCACTTTTTGTATTCTATACGTGCTTTTCGTGCCTGCCATTTAACAATGCATTGCAATTTCAAACATTTTATAGATACATACGTAGCAGTTTCCATTAGGGTAATATGGCAGATTATGTCCAATACGTTGCAAAATACAGTGGGTGATAAGGAAATATTAAAGAGAGTCTCCAAAGTCTGCGTTCGGTAGGACTGAATCGTGTGTATGGGCACGAGCAGGCGATTTCCCAAGCCTAGACAAGGCTGAGCCTCTGAGGATGAGGTAATGAGACAGGCGCATTTGTAGAGCGAACTTACATAAGATCAAAAGAAGCACCTCGTAGCTCAGCCCAATATAATTTATTAGATAGCGAAGAATATATCACAACGTCACATCACTTTGCGTTTGAATTATGATTCACAATTAATATAACAATATAAAAAAAATATTGGTTTTAAAACGAATAATGCGTGAAATGTCAGTTTAAAAAGTTAGGTCCAAGGCAAACTCACAAGGAAAGCGCAGGCACGAAACCTTCCTGGGGAACGTCTTCACTTCATAAACAACAATTGCTTGCTCATATTTTATTGAATTATAATACAAACGGCACTTAAAGTTTAGTTTATTTAGTAAATCCGCGTGTGTTGACATCTAGAGCTCTTGGCTGCACGTTTTCCGAGTTTTATTAGGCTGTAAAAGCTGTAAATCCGTCGCTCGAAATGACCCGTGATTTCTTAGATTTTTTACGGGTTTTCTAGTCTTCCCCATTTTTCTTTCTCACCGACAGCTTCAGTTTGTGTATTCATGCAGTTCTCTGTATCGTATTGCTTTAAAGTGTCACTATGAACATTACATTGGAACATATTAGTAAATAGTGCCTATATACACGTAATAAAATTACTTGAATGACTTATCCCCGAAATGCCATTGAAACAATCCGTTTCCTTGTTTGCAAATTTGTGATTGCTTTTTATTAACACAAATTCGGTTATACAGAAAATTTGTAAGATAATCAAATCACAGAAATCACAGTAAAATCATTACAGGCAAAAACCGCTTGGGCGGGATCATTATAAATATTGATGTTTTGTTAGGATTTTTGAGACCTTTTCATCCGCAGGAAAATCCTCAGAATGTCACACAGTAAACAACGTCTGCAATGGAGACTCCCTTTACCTCTGTGGGCCGCAGCTCAGCTGCTAATCTCCACGCCTAATTGGCTATGCTACACTATAGATATTGCACCACAGCAGATACTAGAAAATTTAATTCAGCTTCAGCTAATGACATCTCAGTATACGTTAATTAATAACGAATTTCGTTTATCATTCGTAGGATTGACCAGAATACATCCACAGTTCTGACTACAATAAAATGTCCATAATAATACAAAAAAATAAAATAACCGTGTTTAACTTATTAATAAATTAGATATCTTTTAACCATACAAAACCGATACCGTTCACTATTCAGTAAAACTCAGCTGTGTTCAGTATTAGATATTACAAAATCACGTTTTCTCAGTTATTTCCCCTTATATTGTCGTGACGATGCACCGGCAGAAATAAACACGTTTTGAGAGTAGCTATGCTATTGCATTATTCACTTTGTGTGACTTTGTGTGCGTTTTTCTTCCTATATATATATTTTTTTAAGAAGACTAACAATGATAGGCGATGTACGGGTCTAACTAAACACAAGGTAACTAAGGAAAGGGACTTTTCTGCCTTAACTCGCATCTACTTTGATGTAAGGTCCCTCTTAATTAAATGTGGAGAATGTTAACAAACACACAAGTTTGCGGGTAGTTGCTACGTCGGTCCCCGCACAACATGTTCGCTTTCAACGTCGTTCCCATCCCAAAATCTGAGATGGCTTCTCGCATATAAATATACAAGTAAAAGACAATGAAAAAACAAAAAGCCGTATGACAGTGGCAATGAAAAATAACTTTCCATTATTCTCGTAGGTTCATTGTTCTCTTCATTACCATATTGACCGTTCGGTAACCTTTTGTAGGGGTACATATATACATACACACAGGGACGCACACACACACACGCGCGCGGGCGCGCGGGCGCGCACACAACACGCACACAAGACCCACACATACAGTGATAGATACAAAGGAAAAGAGACAGAGAGAGAAAGAAAGATGGATGTAACATTAAAGGAGCCACCCCCATAGAGTTAATGGCTCGTCCAAGTAAATTCTGATCATTGTGCACTGAGAATCAACGCTGGCCAGCTCTTGACCTAAATGCAGAAGCTTTTCTTTCTTTGTGGGAAATACATGCAAATGTGACGCAAAACACACGCACAGACACACACACGATCAAATTCTCTCGGTCTTTCTGTAGCAGCATTTCAATATTAGTTAGACAGCCTGACCCGCATCTCACCCCTCGTGTTTGACTCATTCCAATAGTTCACTGCCAAGGAGTTATTGATGAGGAAACAGCGATGAAATTTGTCTTCACAAAGATGTTATTTAGATCTTTTGCCTAGTTCAATTGCAAGTTATAATGTAGAACAGGATGAATGAACTCCTTATTAGTAATTTGATGTTTAATTCTGCTTTTTGAAACTAGCAACCCCTACTCTTCTAAATGCACAGTATTTGTGTTTATGTGTGTGTAATCATAAATACATGGTATACATGATACTTATGTAAAAATCACAATCATTTTGGTGTATATTAATGCAAAAATCAATGTTTCTTATTTGAGTAATACTATAAACACCATATGTGTTCTTTCTAAAGGAAAAACGTAAATTTGGTTTCGGATGTTAAAGCTTTCCAGAGTCCGATTTGCAAGTAGCCTACTGTACGTACGTGCCAGTTCTGAGATTTTACTATTGTCAGGAAAATATCCGTATTTAGCAACGTAGAATTCTGCTACCAACTGTACAGTCATCCTGCAAAAACAACGCGAATTTGCAAATCACCATTGTACTAGTTCCCCAAGTGACCACCTTTGCGCTTGCTTTAATATAATTATTAAATTAAATAATACGTTCATAACATACACACGTTAACCATACATCCCATCCACTCCCGGGAACCGAACTGATACAAACGTAGACGGAAAATTGGCACTTGTATGGACAGAGCTTACATGTAAGCTGTCCCATCACCACATCGTCACAAAGAATTATACTATCAAGAAGACGACGAAGAAGAATTAACACATGTTTTCAATGCTGGCACAAGCCTGAAATTGTTTTTCATTGCTTCAGCCATCATAGTTGTCAGTGTCCTGAGAACTATTTATCAATAGATGACCTGTAAATTAATCTGTTTATGTACAAAGAGAGGAAAAAAACTTATCGTCATATAAACTGAAATCGCCCGCAGGCTTTTACTTGTCACAACAACAGCCAAGCCTATAGTACAACAGGCACCATCTTAAAGGTAGTCATCACAGAACACCCAGCTGCCCTGGAAAAGGAAAATTTGCAGTTTTCTATTGACTGTGAGGGTGGTTGTGTTGTGTGTGTGTGTGTGTGTGTGTCTTTCTGTCAAAACGGGTCCTCCAAACCATTTTGAAGGATGCAATGCACTGTTACTTTTCACCTTTGCTTACTAAGGTTTAAAGTTGTTGATCTGTGACTTAATGGTGTCTTGTCCTCATTTAGGATGTCATGGCCCAAGATTCCTGTGACAGACTCTTAAAAAATGTGACCTTAACTGCATAAGTAGCTAGTGAAAATTGATGGTTGGATGGATTGTGACCATTGTGTGGTTCCTTTGAACAAGATACTGTAAGACTGATCTGTAATATTATTGCTCTTTGTATCATTGTTTGATTTGCAATTTGGATTTACTTATGATTGGGACATAGAAAGTGACAATTTTGAGATTTACAAAGGAGCTTTCAGTACCTTAGGGGAAAACTGTTGAAATATCTCAACAAAAAACTGTACAAACTATGGTAAAATCATTATAAATCATGTCTTGAGTATATACGTCTTTTAAGAAAATAAATTAAATAAAAAACATCAATCCACTTCTGCCACACCTTGATGCTGGTGGTTGGTTACTGGTGTCCCTACTTACTACATCAGTGGCTGCCCAAAATATGGATGGCTGAAATATTGTGTGCAAATGCAGGCCCACAAATATCAGCCTGTGCATTAGGGGTGACATAATTCACTTCATTATAGATATATTCATGGCTACTTATTTTTTGCCTAATACAGGTTATTTGGTGGAAAATGATGGGTTGGGGCTATAATATGTAGCTGTTTTCTGTACACTGGAAAATACAAATACAGTGGCATAATTTGCCAGTTACTCATAAGCTTCAATATAATTCTGCACGCGCTCCTTGACTCCCACATTTTCAGGTACTCCCTGCTGGTGAAGGAGTGTTTTATGTTAATCTCCAATCTTGAAATTCTCACCATAAAAGTAATTGATAACCACTTTAGGAAAAATAAATATTACAGAGTGGAAGGGCAATACACACACACACACACACACACACACACACTGTTTAAACCCAGAAATCTAAAGAGGAGACTTAATGTTAATCAGAAAATTGACATTTTTCATTAGTGTTACCACAAAAAACATATTAAAAAGTAAAAAAAAAAAAAGACAGTCATACAGATAAACACAAGGGCTAAACAAGATAAATAGTAATAAACGGAAAACCTTTATCTTACACTGTGGAGATTTGGAGTAATTGGGAATATTTGATCAAACAAATGTTCAATGGAATGTCTTCAGGGAGTTCATTACTATTCTTACTAAGGTATGAATTCATGGCTCTACTGTAATTACAGACATACAACCATGTGTCCAAAAAAGTTGGGATGCTGTGATAAATGTAAATAATAAAAGAGTGCAATGATTTACAAATCATATAAACCCATATAAAATAGAACGAAGGACATATCAAATGTTGAAACTGAGAAATCTTATTGTTTTATCACAAATATATGACCAATGTTTCAAAAAAGTTGGGACAGAGGCATATTTACTTGTGTGCTGCGTCACCTCTTCTTTTAACAACACTCTGTGAACATTTGGGAACTGAGGAGACCAGTTGTTGGAGTTTTGAAAGTGAAATGTTGTCCCATTTTTGCCTGATATAGGATTTCAACTGCTCAACAGTTCAGGGTCTCTTCAGGGTATTTTTAGTTCCATGATGCATCAGATGTTTCAATGGGTGACAGGTATGCATTGCAGGTAGGCCTATGGATGACAGGTTTGCATTGCAGGCAGGCCTATGGGTGACAGGTCTGCACTGCAGGCAGGCCAGTCTTGCACTCAGACTCTAATACTGCGGAGCCATGCTTGTTGTATTATGCGCAGAATGCAGTTTGCCATTGTCTTGCTGAAATACACAAGGCCTTCTCTGAATAAACGTTGTCTGGATGGCAGCATATATTGCCGCAAAACTGGCACATATCGTTTAACACTTATTCTCAGATGTCCAAGCTACCCAAGCCATGGGCACTAATGCACCCCCATCCCATCACGGATTCTGGCTTTTGAACTGTCCACTGATAACAAGCTGGATGGTCCCTCTCCTCTTTAGCCTGGAGGACGCAGCAGCCATGATTTCCAAAAACAATTTGAAATTTTGTTTCGTCAGACTACAAGACAGTTTTCCATATTGCCTCAGCCCTTCTTAAAGGAATTCGGGCCCAGAGAAGTTGGTGGTGTTTCTTGATCATGTTTAGATATGGTTTCTTCTTTGCATGGTAGAGTTTCATCCTGCATTTGTGGATACAGCAATAGACTGTGTTCACATACAATGGTTTTCGGAAGTGTTCCTGAGCTCTTACACTGATTTCCACTATAGAATCATGTCTGTTTTTAATGCAGTGCTGCCTGTGGACCTGAAGATTATAACTATCCAATATTGGTTTTCCGCCTTCTCCCTTGCATACAGAAATTTCTCCTGATTCACAGAATCTTTTAATAATATTATGTACCTTAGATGACGAAATTCTCTAATTCTTTGCAATGTTATGTTGAGGAACATTATTCTTAAATTGTTACACTATGTGCCCACACAGTCTTTCACAGAGCAGTGAACCTCTCCCCATCTTCACTGCACAGAGCAGTGAACCTCTCCCCATCTTCACTGCACAGAGCAGTGAACCTCTCCCCATCTTCACTGCACAGAGCAGTGAACCTCTCCCCATCTTCACT